TATCATAAATAAATAATACAAATATAAAGATATAAAAATACTTTTATTTATCATCATTAAATTCCACTAATCCATACACAATAATTATTAATAGAATAAAATTTTATATTTTTAAAGTAAACCTAGAAATGAAATCATATTTTCCATCTAGGCCATGGGTAAGTACTTCAACCATTTGGGTCAAATGGATAATTTCATTATATCATAAATAAATAATACAAATTTAGAAATATAAGAAATACAAAAAATATAGAAAAAAAAAAGAAATTTTGAAAAAAATGGACACATTTCTATTATTATATATTTATCATATTAAAAAATAACTATGATAAAATAGACATAATCGTATTAATAATGGACATCAAATATACAACTTAAAACCGACGAGAAATTAAACCATCTTCCTATCTACGGGGTGGGTTAGTGGTTCAGCCTTTCAGATCAAATAGGTTAACCCGTGATGTATAATTAAAAATAATTGTTTTTAAAATAGAACAATACAAAAAATATGAAACAATTTTGGGCACATATATAATATTATATACTAATAATATAAACAAAAATAAGTATGATAAATAGTAATTATTTTATCAATGATATAAATTAAATGCAAATTTTAAAACCAGCTTGAAAATGAAACCATTTTCATATCTAGATGATAGGTAGGTCAATGATCTAACATTCTGGGTCAAATGGGTCAATCTATGATGGCATAACTAGGTAACAAATATTAAATACATACATACATACATACATACAAACTCAAAGAAAAATATAAGCTTTGTATAAAGCATTTTGATACAATTCTATTGTTATATATTCACTATATTAAACAAAAATAAATGTGAAAATAAGAATTACTTTTATCGATGATGAAAATGGAATACATGATTTAAAATCAACCGAAAAAGCAAAATGGTTTCTCCATCCAAGAGATGGGTTAGTGGTTAAACTATCCATGCCAAATGGATCCTATTATTAAATAATAAAATACATAAAATTCTTAAAAATGTAAAAATATGTTGATAATTTTGGGTACATTCTGTAATATTATATATTCATCATATAAAAAAGTGTGATTAATGAGAATTATTTTCATTAATGATAGAAATGGGATAAAAATTATGATAAAAAATAAAGAGCATTAATGTCTAACACATGACCCGATTAACCATGTCAAATGGTTCAATAATTTAATTAGCTAGGTCATCGTAGGTAAGTGGTTTGGTAGGGATGCAAATAGATCATATCAAATTTGAATTAGGGTATATTCAAATCTGATCTGATCCAAAGATTCGATTGGATCTCATAAATATTGATTCGAATCTGAATCCGGTCAAGATGTCAGACATTCGAATCTGATACGATCCTATTTAATTTTTTTTAAAAAGTAATAAATTATTAAAAGAAAAAGAAAAATATAAAAATTGAAATAAAAAACAAAAAATATAAGTATTTTTTCAACTATTGTCATCATATAAAAAGTTTACAAAAATGCAATATAAATAATATATTTATAAATAAATAATAAATAGAATATATATTATATATAAATAATATAAATAATTGATTTGAGCACAATATTAAAACCAATGTTCAAACAATATATTGGAATTGAATTTCCTCTTGGTAAATAAGTAATTTTTATTGTCTCATAAATTAAATAATAAAAAAATAAAATATAGAATTTTTTTATAAATTTTATAAAAAAAAATTGAACATATATTAATATTATATGTTCTTCATATTAAACAAAAATACGTTTGAGAAAATGAGAATTATATTGTTAGTAAAGATAGAAAAAGCTAAAATACAAAGTAAAAAAATGAATTAATGTCTTAATCATAGTACATTTTCATATTTAAATAGGTTAATGATTCAACTAGTAAGGTCCTTTGGTTACTGATTATTATCATCATCATTATTTGGTACTGCCATGTGCAAAAATAAATGTGAAAATAAGAATTACTTTTATTGATGATGAAAATGTAAAACATGATTTAAAATCAATCAAAAAAGAAAAAATGGGTTTTCCATCCAAGTGGTAGGTTAGTGGTTCAACCATCCTTGTCAAATGGATCAACACATGATATTATTAAATAGTAAAATACATAAAATTCTAGAAAATATAGAAATTTGTAGATAATTTTGGATACATTCTATAATATTATATATTCATCATATAAAAATGTGTGATTAATGAGAATTATTTTCATTAATGATAGAAATGGGATAAAAATTAGGATAAAAAATAAAAAGCATTAATGTCTAACACGTGACCCCACTAACCATGTCAAATGGTTCAATGATTTAATTAGCTAGGTCATTGTAGGCAAGTGGTTTGGTAGGGATGCAAATAGATAGGATCGGATTTGAATCATTGTATATTTGAATTTGATTCGATCCGAAGATCTGATTGGATCTCATAAATATTGATCTAAATCTGAATCTGATCAATATGTTGGATATCTGAATCTGACATGACCCGATTTAATTTAAAAAATAATAATAAATTATTAAAAGGAAAAGAAAATATAATAGTTAAAATAAAGAAAAACAAAAAATATAAGTATTTTTTCAACTATTTTCATTAAAGTTTACAAAAATACAATATAAATAACATATTTATAAATAATAAATAACATATATATATATATATATTGACTTGACCACAATATTAAAAACCAATATTCAAACAGTATATTGGAATTGCATTTCCTCTTGGTAAATATGTAATTTTTATTATCTTATAAATTAAAAATAAAAAAATAAAAATATAGAATTTTTTATAAATTTTATAGAAAATTTTGAACATGCATTAATATTATATATTCTTCATATTAAACAAAATATGTTTGAAAAATAAGGATTATTGTTAGTAAGATAGAAATGACTAAAATACAAAGAAAAAAATGAATTAATGTCTTAGTTATAGTTCATTTTCCTGGTTAAATAGGTTAATGGTTCAATGAGTAAGGTCATTTGGTTGCTTACTATTATCATCATCATCATGGTATTGCCACATGCAACGCACGTACACTTTTACTAGTAAGACTAAGACTCTATATACAAGAAAGAAAACCCCCGAAAATATATAACTCTTCGTATTTGGTTTAGACCTAAAAGATGAATATGGATCGAGTCCATACCGCCACGGCCCAAGCCCTATGCATCCACCACAAACCACTTTGAAATTTTGCCTTCAGGTTTTTTCAAAATAATTCGGAGCGGATTCAAGAAGTGGGTCTTCACAAAGAATTCAAGATACAAACATAACATATTTTTCTCTATCTCTCTCCACCTTCCAAGTATATGCATTTAATTTTTCATCTATGTATTAAAATATTAATGTTTAAAATTTAAATCTTGAAATAAGATGAGTAAAAAAGTATCTAGAATAATAATAAGAGAAAAACATAGATGATATAATAAGACAAATAAGAAAAGTAAATTAATAAAATTTAATAATTAATTAAAAATCTTATTATAATTATAACTAATATTTAAAATTATCATTATAAAATCTCTCTCTCCATGGGTCGCTTTGGACCCCATACATCACTATTTTTATTGATGCTGAAATTTTCTGAACAATATAGCAAGAAAATGGGTCAAGAAAATATAAATTTGTAGTTATGAATTTGAATAGATCTTGATTGATCTGATTTCGTTTGCCAAATCTACTATATAAATTTTTATAAATATTTATTTAAAATAAATATTAGAAAAAATATTAATTTCATTATTAATTAACATGCTTTCGTTTTTTTAAAATAGTAATTTCTTCAAAAATATTTTTTAGTTATTTTTCAAAAATTTATTAAAAATTCACTATTTTTTGTAAATTATGTGAACTAATTTCTAAAAACATCTCCTTTGTCTTAAGTGAACTTCAAGTTTTGGATTAGGTTTTTCCCCAACTTTGCTAATTTCCTATGAGAATAAAAAAAGCCAGAGAATAAAATGAACCAGGGCCTGAAAATTGCTTCAAGGGTCGGGTTATTTTAGTACCTAAAAATTGTACGACCCACTAGTTTTAGTTACCAATTTATACTGAACTACACCGGTTTAGTTTGATTAGTTTGACTTAGCAATACAATTTGGCCTATGATAAATAAGAGAAATTTTCATTAAAAATATTAAAAAAAAGGAAAGGATAATTTCATAGGGTTGTCGATTACATAACTTGCTCTCATCCTTCATTCCTGATATACAAAATTTTCTTTATTATAAGTCGTAGAAACTTATGAATTATAAATTTATAATATGCCATAAAATAAATTATGAAACACTTGCAACAATAATACTGACAGTTTGGCCGAGTGGTCTAAGGCGCCAGATTTAGGCTCTGGTCCGAAAGGGCGTGGGTTCAAATCCCACAGCTGTCACATTCTACCCTGTTGCTTTATCTTCTGCCTACAGTTTTTTATTTTCTCTACCCATTTAAACAATTAAATAAATGAATATTTTTTAGTATTGCACGTGATCATGGATGATGGATCGGATGAAATAGGATAATTCTACCCAAATTTGATTTGTTAATTTTTAAATCTGAAGAAAACCTTGAATACGACTAATAAATTCGATTTCGATTTATTTAGTTTAGAGTCGACTCTAGATATTGAACACGACTAATAAATTAGGCTATTGATAAACATATTATATCAGATCCATATTCGATCAGAATATAAATGGATCAGATTTGGATCGATTTATTCATATGGGATTATCTTTTTGGTGTATTTATTCGGCCAGGTCAATCTCATAAAATTGAAATAAACGGTATGATTCCTGTAGAAGGTAAATAAATAAATAAATGCCATTCAAAAATAAATAAATAGTATGACCCACGAAGACCCACCATATTACTCTAGTTTTGTCATATCCTAACATTTAACTCGTGCGCCCCTTTTCTCGAATCGTCTTAATGAAATCCCTTAGAAAAAGAAAAATTTTCTATTTCTTTCTTACCCCAGCAGTCCCACACCGAGAAGAATAAGTTGACAAAAAATAATGGAATTTCTTAGATACATGGAGAACGAAGAAGAAAGAAGAATGGAAAAGTAAAAACTAAGAAAAGACGAAGACAAAAAAAAAAAAAAAAATCCCATTTCAATCACTAAAATGGTATGAACATCATCCCATGTAAATTGGTAATCTGTCAATCAAATAAAGTATAAACAATGTTTTTCTCTTTTCTATTTTCTACTCTTCTCAGTGCCCGTAAAAGAAGAAATGAAGAAAAGGAAAAACAGAGCAATGCAAAGAAGAGGAAAATGAGAGAACCGAAAAAAAATTATACATCCATAAAATCTTGTTGGAGAACTTGTTCCAGCCACATCTCAGACGATTCCATTAGATCAGGACTCAATCTGAACATGAGGACACAGAACTCCATCTGATTAAGAGCCCCATCGCCGTCGACATCCCCTTCCTTCAACATGCTCCGTAGCTCGTCGTCTGTGAATCCTTGCAACCCCAAAAGGGCAGAGTTTCTCTTCAAGCTGTCGAAAGTGATGAGTCCCTTATCAGGGTCCATGAGCAACTGAAACCCATTACACAGCTCCCCGATCAATCCCTCCCCACCCAACTTGTCGGCCATTATAGGCAAGAAATCTTCGAAATCGACCGCCTTTCGTTGTTCCATTTGATACTCCTTTCTGGTTATTGCTTGCTTGGAGAAGGGTAAGAAAGAAAGGAAAGAGAATTGAGATTTTGGTACGAGAGGAAAAGGAATGAATGCGAGGGATTTAAATAGAGAAGGAGGTTTCACTTGAAGCTCAAGGGGTTCGTCGTTCGTGGAAGGAGAGTCGATGTTGGTCATGGACGATGGATGGATGCCAGCCAACCAAGCAGTCCAGGTACGATTATTGAGAAAATCGAAGTCGGTCGATTCTGCAGTTGCTTTCCTCCTTCGAAGAAAGTCCTTAGGGGCAGAGTCGTCACCTAAAAAGATAAAAAGGAAGGAATTTTGTTCTATTGTTTCTATTTCTTTTGCTTGTTTAGTGTATAGACACTTTCCCGTTGCGAAAACGTCCTTCATTTTCGGATGAATTTACGGAAACAACACCTTCCGAGTTTCCTGAAGACCAAGGCGAAATAACCAATAACGCTTTTTTGTATTTGACATATTGAAGCTGTCAACACCACATGAATCCAACAGTTCATTCTTCTGTCCAAGAAATTGGATTGAAACTACAGCCCAAGCCCAGGAACAGAGCTGTTTATGGGCCGGGCTGGGCAGGGGTCGGGTCGGGCTTTTACTCTTCATAAATAGGATTTTGTTAGACCCGAGCTTGGCCCGACCAATGGGTATACAATTGGGGCCCAAGTCCGGCCCTAATAAAAAGCTCGAAGCTCGGGTTCGAGCCCGAAGCCTGACCTAACAGAAAGATGGTCGCCGGTGTTGAGTTTGCGTGACTGTTCGTCGGTGTTGAGTTTGCATTGAGGTGTTAGCCTAAATTCATCAGAGAAAATAACAAGAAAAAGAAGGGCTGCAACTCCTAGCCTACGTTCGTTGGAGATTGCCAAAGAAGAAAAACGATTGAGAGGGAACAAGGAACTAAGAATGAGAAGTGAGAACTGCTGGTCCATTTGTTAGAGAAGATAACACTTGAGAAGACATGAATAGAGAGGTCATGATCCAGTGCTACTGACCTTGGTGGAGCCATCTCATCGGGCAACTCCTAGCCTTAAGCATACAAAAGGCTTGTCCTGGCCTGCCTTGGCCTGAACGTTGCACGGATTTCTTCCGTTGCAGATCTACCCCATGACAGTTGGTATCAGAGCATATCAGCACAGATCCTGTTGAAGCGGTCATCACGACAAGCAACACATCGTGGGGTGCGGTCCCTAGGCACTTCCACTCGGGTACAAGCAAGAAAGCATACACATCAGGCCTGACAAGAGGCCATTCATCGTGCCCCCATTCCAATGACCCCAAAACAACGTCCTTGCGGGGGCAGACGCATTGGTCATTGTGCTCATACGGGGGCAAATGCATGGGCCTTTTCATGGAGTACATATTGTGGTGGTTTGAGTGGGGGAGTGCCATGCTTCCTCATAGACATCAGTTGCTATTCATTTTAGTGATTTATGGGCAGTGCGCCTACATCTTGGTTTCATGATGGATGAGCCATTGTTCCGTAGCTTTGTGTAAGGCACTACTAAGGTGGGGACAGTAGTCCAAAATTGGTTGGTTTCGACGGTTAGCCAAGGAATATCATTAAGGTGGTGGTTTTGCATCATGGATCCTCGGTGGAAGCCACAATATCGGAATGATAGGAATGTGGGTACACTGGCCATTGGAGCATGGCGGCTCTACACCGGCAATGCATCGGAGGACGTGCTCAGCTCATCACAAGGCGGAACATTCGCAACATCAACACACATCACAAGGTGAGGGCATGTTTGACAACATCATGGGAAAAAGTTGCCACACTCGCGCAGATTGTAGTCAAATCTCCTTGAGGCATCACACATTGGGGCCCTCTCGGAGTGAAGAGGTAACCCGAACCGGCGAGGTGAAGTGTAGTTTCGAGGGCTAACAGAGCATAAGCCATGACTAGGTTTGAGTAACCTACACACGGCGAGGTGAAGTCCGCATGCCAACATGGTGAAAGGGTACCTAGCACACACCGCCAACAACAGGAGTAAACCTATCACATCGTGTTCGGTAGCACCATCGAAAAGCTACCATGGAGACGCTCGAGCCTTGAGTAAAGATAATACATGGGGCGGACCTCCGCGAAGCACAAACATCCAAATTTCTTCGAGGGCCCTTCTCGCACACTTTCAACGGCATAGCCATTGCATGGTTTGAGTAACCTCAACATAGGGGATGAAGTCTAGGCAGATCGGCATGGTGAAATGGTTCCGTCCCCATAAATGGACACCAAAATAGGCGAGACCCAGGTTGGCCAGGCGAGTGGATGGCGCAAGACACATACGCTGATTCACAAGAAGAGCCATTGTCGAGGACAACAATGGATTGAGTGGGGGAGCCTGTCACGGTCTGACATAGGCTTAGCCTTGCCTACGCTTGGCAGGCTTACGTTAAGGGACACCATCATCATTTTTTCCTGTAAGATTTTTGGGAGAATTGATGTCATCTTTAGGCAGACCTCTAAAAGCTTAACGTACACTTTGAGGAGGGGTGGTCGACCTCCTTGGGTGCCTAACCTTAGCAGTCCTAGACCAACATCCCTTGCGGGGTGTCCCTGGTTAATGGCTAGCATGGCTACTAGGGTTCCTCATGGGTGCACAGATGCTCATGGGGACAGTGCATGGACCGACACTGTGCTACCGACACTCAAGGGAGGCTTGGCATGCGGGCCTAGCCTAAGCATGACCCTTCACCACGGCAGCCCCTTGCCCAAGTTGAAAGAGTTATCCCGTTGCCCATAGCGCATGGGAGTGTTCCGGCCCAGTGGTTGCCTGTCATCATTGGCACACAGGTGCCTACATTATCGGCATAAAGGAGCCTTTCACATCGGCGCCAAGTCGCCTCATGGCCTTCCCCCTTTAGCACATAAGTAGTGCCTCCCATGGACCGGCCAGATCCAGTAGAGCGCCCTGACCATGCGACTTGAGGTCATGATCCAATGCTATTGACCTTGATGGAGCCATCTCATTGGGCAACTCCTAGCCCTAAGCATACAAAAGGCTTGTCTTAGCCTGCTTGGCGTGGACGCCACACGGGTTTCTTCCGCTGTAGATCTACCCCCGTGACAGGAGAGTGTGAGGTTGTGAATGTGAAAACTGAGAAGAGAGAACTGAGGTTCAACGATTAAGACTAAGAGAAAGAGATGACCGAGAAGAGAGGGGTTAGGATATTTAGGGCTAGGTTTTTGGTTTAACCTATAGGTTGGGCTAGGTCGGATTTTTTTGACAAATCCCGAGCCCGACTCGCAACATAGTCAGGCTCAGGCTTTTAGGCCCGAGGTCAAGCCCATAGGCTCAAATATGTGTTCAAGCCCATTCGGGGGCTAGGCCAACCCATCGGGCTACCTAACCCATGAACAGGTCTACCCAAAAAGGATAAAATGGTAAATTTGAAAAAACAAGACTTTGTCAGAGTGAAGACGAGGGAAATGCAATGGACAGGTGGAGGTGGGGAGGGGGCTGGTACCTGGTATTGGTAATTAAAGTCTTTATCAGAATCCAGAAGGGGTCGTATCATCGTATAGAGAGGCAAAAGAGGGATGCGTGTTAATGATGAATGGGTTTGATCTTTGTACATTGAAGTCCAACAAAACAACGCCCAGGCCAAGTATGAACTATGAACCACAACCACCGTCCACCGCTACCGCCTACCGCTAATAGTTGCGTACAACAGTATATAACTTATTATTATGTTGGTGGTGTTTCTGAATTCCAAACATTGAATTTGTTTGTGGGGCTTGGCTATGCCCACTTGCCCAGTCTTAATTCTTAAAGGAAGGCGGAGAAGTCACGAGTGGATCCCCGGCTTTATCCACATCTCTACCTGCTTCCAACAATCTATTTTTGTTTTTTGTTTATCAATGAAATTTCTTGTTTGTTGATATTGGGTGTGTGCGTGCGTCGTGTAGCATGTGACAAAAGGTGGTCAAAACCAGATCGGAAAACCGGGAATCGGTTACTTGATTGGTTTTGTTTTGCCTTATAACCGTCTTTTGGTAAAAAATTGTTGACTTGATCAATAAACTGTTGATCGAGTGATCAAATTGTTTAAACCGTTTGAATTGTCTAATGGTTTTTAGCCATTTTATATTTTTTTATTAATTTATTAATTTTTTTGTTAAAACAGACCATCTATTTGGTTCAAACAATCAAACCATCTGACCCAAAAATCAGACCCCTGAACGATTCATTGTGCGAATCGATTTTAAAAACCTTCATTATTTTATTACTTTTGTAGTCGTGGAAGTTGCTTTGATATTCTCATCGTCTTTCTTGGGTCTTGGGTTACGGGTTACCATGGGCCGGGCTTGCCTGGGCCGGTGGGCCCAGATTGGGTCAGCCTGGACTTTGGGCCTATATTGCTTAGTATATTATATTATTTTACGTACTTGATAATTTAATATAATATAAATTATATACATATTATTTTTATCACAAGCTGGGTGGGAATTGATCTCCCCCAAATGGGTTTGTACTTAAATTTTTTTTTTTTTGTTTAGTTTGAATTTGAACTTGATTATGCTGGTGTTGGAAGATCTGGGTAGTTGTTTAATCGTGAATCACACAACCTGGCATTGCAAAGGCTATCACTGGGTGCATCCATGGTCAGCTTCATGGCTCGACCTGGTCCAATACGATAGCTTAATTAGTTTAACATTCTTAGAGTCAATAACAGAGAGTTTAATTAGTTTAACATTCTCTGTTCTTTGGATCGTTGGACCTAAAGAATTTATTATTATTATTTTTTATCCTGCTAAATACACTTATCCGGATAAATACACTTGGATAACATTTTTTGAATCGTTGATGAGATTTAATAATAATAATAATAATAATAATAATAATAATATAATTATTATTATTATTATTATTATTATTATTATTATTATTATTATTATTATCTCGCTAATATACCATTTTTGTGTCTCCACGTGACATGGAGGAGGTGTCGGACTCTTCGTTTGCACAGAGCAAGACAATCAAGGGTCTTCCAGGTTCAGTATTGGAAGCAGTTTGAGCCCTCCGCTCGTGAGAATGCCGTGACGGAACGCCGATGAGGCTTGGGCTGTGCACATGAGAAAAACCCGGCGAGGCTTGGGCGGAACGCCGTGACGGCGTCGGGTGGAGATGAGCCCTCTGCTCGTGACAATGCCGTGACGGAACACCGACAAGGCT